TTCCGATCTTTTGCCTCAGTTATTCTGCTATTGATCCCATCTAGAGTATTTTTCATTTCATTTATTGTGTTGTTCATCATTGCTTGTTTCATCTTTAGTTCTTCTAGGTCCTTGTTAAATGTTTCTTGCATTTTGTCTATTCTATCTCCAAGATTTTGGATCATCTTTACTATCATTATTCTGAATTCTTTTTCAGGTAGACTGCCTATTTCCTCTTCATTTGTTAGGTCTGGTGGGTTTTTATCTTGCTCCTTCATCTGCTGTGTGTTTTTCTGTCTTCTCATTTTGCTTATCTTACTGTGTTTGGGGTCTGCTTTTTGCAGGCTGCAGGTTCGTAGTTTCTGTTGTTTTTGGTGTCTGTCCCCAGAGGCTAAGGTTGGTTCAGTGGGTTGTGTAGGCTTCCTGGTGGAGGGCACTAGTGCCTGTGTTCTGGTGGATGAGGCTGGATCTTGTCTTTCCGGTGGGCAGGTCCACGTCTGGTGGTGTGTTTTGGGGTGTCTGTAGACTTATTATGATTTTGGGCAGCCTCTCTGCTAATGGGTGGGGTTGTGTTCCTATCTTGCTAGTTGTTTGGCATAGGGTGTCCAGCACTGTAGCTTGCTGGTCGTTGAGTGAAGCTGGGTGCTGGTGTTGAGATGGAGATCTCTGGGAGATTTTCGCCGTTTGATATTATGTGGAGTTGGCAGGTCTCTTGTGGACCAGTGTCCTAAAGTTGGCTCTCCTACCTCAGAGGCACAGCACTGACTCCTGGCTGCAGCACCAAGAGCCTTTCATCCACACGGCTCAGAACAAAAGGGAAAAAATTAGAAAGAAAGAAAGAAGAAAAGAAAGAAAGAAAGGAAGGAAGGTCGGAAGGAAGGAAGATGAAAGAAAGGAGGGAGGGAGGGAGGGAGGGAAGGAAGGACGGAAGGAAGGAAGGAAGGAAGGAAGGAAGATGAAAGAAAGAAAGAAAGAAAAGAAGGAGGGAAGGAAGGAAGGAAGAGAGAAGGGAGGGAGGGGGAGAGGGAGGAAGGGGGAGGGAGGGAGGGAGAGAGGAAGGAAGGAAGGGATGGAGGAGGAAGGAAGGAAGGAAGGAGGGCAGGAAGGAAGGAAAGAAAGAAAGAAGATAAAATAAAATAAAAGATAAAATAAAATGAAGTTAATAAAATAAAAAGTAATTATTAAGAAAAAAAAATTTTTTTAAGAAAAACAAAACCAGACAGATAGAACCCTAGGACAAATGGTGGAAGCAAAGCTATACAGACAAAATCTCGCACAGAAGCATACACATACACACTCACAAAAAGAGGAAAAAGGGGAAAAATCATAAACCTTGCTCTTAAAGTCCACCTCCTTAATTTGGGATGATTCGTTGTGTATACATCTATTCCACAGATGCAGGGTACATCAAGTTGATTGTGGAGCTTTAATCCGCTGCTTCTGAGACTGCTGGGAGGAATTTCCCTTTCTCTTCTTTGTTCGCACAGCTCCCGGGGTTCAGCTTTGGATTTGGACCCGCCTCTGCATGTAGGTCGCCTGAGGGCGTCTGTTCTTCGCTCAGCAGACAGGACGGGGTTAAAGGAGCCGCTGATTCGGGGGCTCTGGCTCACTCAGGCCGGAGGCGGGGGGAGGGGCATGGCGTGAGGGGCGGGCCTGCGGCGGCAGAGGCCAGCGTGACGTTGCACCAGCCTGAGGCGCGCCGTGCGTTCTCCTGAGGAAGTTGTCCCTGGATCCCGGGACCCTGGCAGTGGCGGGCTGCACAGGCTCCCCGGAAGGGCGTGTGGATAGTGACCTGTGCTTGCACACAGGCTTCTTGGTGGCAGCAGCAGCAGCCTTACCCTCTCATGCCCGTCTCTGGGGTCCGCGGTTTTAGCCACGGCTCACGCCCATCTCTGGAGCTCCTTTAAGCGGCGCTCTTAATCCCCTCTCCTCGCGCACCAGGAAACAAAGAGGGAAAAAAAAATCTCTTGCCTCTTCGGCAGGTCCAGACTTTTCCCCAGACTCCTTCCCGGCTAGCTGTGGCGCACTAGCCCCCTGCAGGCTGTGTTCACACCGCCATCCCGAGTCCTCTCCCGGCGCTCCGACCGAAGACTGAGCCTTGGCTCCCAGCCCTGCCTGCCCCGGTGGGTGAGCAGACAAGCCTCTCGGGCTGGTGAGTGCTGGTCGGCACCAATCCTCTGTGCGGGAATCTCTCCGCTTCGTCCTCCGCACCCCTGTTGCTGTGCTCTCCTCCACAGCTCCGAAGCATTCCCCCTCCGCCACCCGCAGTCTCCACCCACGAAGGGGCTTCCTAGTGTGTGGAAACCTTTCCTCCTTCACAGCTCCCTCCCACTGGTGCAGGTCCCGTCCCTATTCTTTTGTCTCTGTTTTTTCTTTTGCCCTACCCAAGTTCGTGGGGACTTTCTTGCCTTTTGGGAGGTCTGAGGTCTTCTGCCAGCGTTCAGTAGGTGTTCTGTAGGTGTTGTTCCACGTGTATATGTATTTCTGGTGTATCTGTGGGGAGGAAGGTGATCTCCGCCTCTTACTCTTCCGCCATCTTCCCCTCGTCCCCCCGAATTTAGTCAAATATTGTTTTTTAAAGAATGAATGAAGCAAGTTTCCTAAGGAACCCACATGGAATGCCAGTAAAACTACTGCAGATTTTTGAAAGGCAGATACTGAGGAAAGCTGATTTTTATTTATAAGTCAGTGAACTGAAAAAACGGTTCAAACCCATGGTACACTGTGCATGCAAATTAGTATATACTTCATTGTATAATTTCATTAGCTTTACGAGCCTTAGTTGGGGAATAGGATAAACATCATCTGAAGCAGAAATTTCAAACTTAACCCAAAGTATTATTTTCACCAGTGTATAGTGACAAATATCACTGTTAACACCAACAATTAAAAAACTGCAAATGAAATTCTCAGTTCAGCACTCACCCTATAAAATACTATGTCAGATCCTGAGTTAGGAGCAAAGGATATCAAGACAACACCCCTTATCGCTCATGCTAAAGGTGTTCCTAAAACAGCAAAAGAAACGATGGTTTCCTCTATTCTCAAATAAGTTAGATTAGCCTGTCTGTAATGCAGTGTAGCTAAGGGATCAAGAAGAGGCCTGGGGCTTTTCTGTTAAGAGGCAAGCAAATCACTGGACTTGGAAGCAGAAGAAAAGGTGAGGTTTTTTCCCCCCCTCTGAAGACCAAACGAGTTTGAACTGTAAGAATGAGGGCAGGGGGCTTCCCTGGTGGCGCAGTGGTTGAGAGTCTGCCTGCCAATGCAGGGGACACGGGTTCGTGCCCCGGTCTGGGAGGATCCCACATGCCACAGAGTGGCTGGGCCCGTGAGCCATGGCCGCTGAGCCTGCGCGTCCGGAGCCTGTGCTCCGCAGCGGGAGAGGCCACAACAGTAAGAGGCCCGCGAACCGCAAAAAAAAAAAAAAAAAAAAAAAAAAAGAATGAGGGCAGGAACTAATACTATTACTTAAGACAAACTAAAAAGGGTAGTTTTTCATACCATCTCCACTTATATGAGTTCCAGACTCCTAATTCCCTTTCTGGATAAAAAACCTTTTTAAGATAAGAAACATAAGCCATCGTAGAGACTATAACATACACTGACAGCATGCCACGTTTCTTCTATGAGTTTGGTAAACACTCATAATGACGATAATGATGGAAAAGACTTCCTTCCTCAAAACACCTTGATCTCAGCATTTGTGGTTTCCCTGGATTGAAAGCAGAAGTGAATCCTCATTACAAGGGCAACTCCCTTTTCTGAAGAATGGGGTTTAAATAGTTTGGTGGCTTTCCAGATGGGAGGTGCTAGCTGACGGCCTCTGGAGAACTCTGCCTCGGAGTTCACTGTGCAGAATCCTCTGGCATCCTTGCGCTCTGAAGAGCTGTCAGATCTCCCAGGGCTGAGAAGGTGAGCTGAGAGGGTGTCACAGAGGAGGAAGGTGGCCCCCATATAGGTCTTAACTGTGCAGCTGTGCACAGTGCACATGCTGCATCCCTCTCTGCATCTGTCACACAACAAGGGCTCAATATGTTCTTCTTTCAATTCACTTTTCAAATCATTAATGTTGCCTATATGAGCCATATTAAAACTGCCATGGGTTAAGACACTGCACTTGTAACTAAGGTCTCCAAAACTGGGTCACGTGAAATCTATAACCTTGACACTGCGAAGGATCTCCTTTTAGACTTCAGGCCAATACATCCACCCCTTAGAAAAGCAAGCGCACCAGGGGCTGGGGGGCGGGGGGCAGAGCCTATATGATCACGGCGCCCTGATAACCGAGCTAACAGCACTAAGGCGGAGGCACGTGGGGCTCCTTTTCCCTCCCCCACACATCCCGTCCCTCAGGACACCACATCGTTTGATCTAAGAGTGGAGGGACGTAATGCTTCAAAATGACTAATAAAACTTACTTCCCAATTCCCCAAATCTGTAAGGTTCCTTAGAGGTCTAGAAGTGTGCTCAGAGGAAAAGGAAACAAACTACTCTTAGCCAAGGTTATCCTCACAAACACCACGGTAGTGTTAGGCTCTAGTATTAGGATATTCACAAAACGCTGGGAAGAAAACATCTTGTCCGTGGCAAACTTCTGAGAAGCCCAATGGCAACTGAAGGCTGCTGGTGGGTAAAACGCACGCAGTGGGGATGAAACGCTGTCGCCGCTCCTGTCCTGACACGTAAGACTGTTCAAGCGCCGGACCGAGGCCAGAGCCCGGGGCGCGCCTTCCCCTCCTCCGCCCCGCGCGTCCCGGGACCCGGCTCGCCCTGGGCTCCGCGACAGCAGGTGTCCGGTCACAGGTGCAGAGACTCCCTCCGCTCCGGCGGGGCTGGGCCGGGCGGGTCTCCAGGCCCCTGGCTGGCGGCCCCAGCTCCCGCCCCGCCGCCCCCCTGAGCGGGAGCCAGGCCCGGGGCCCTCCCGGCCTCCGCGCCCCCGGGTCCGGCCGGGCGCCCCCAAACCCGGCCGCGCGTGCGCCGCGCCCCGCCCGCTGGCACGCGTCCCTCCCGCGGCCCCGCACCTGAGGATGTTGTCCGCGTAGGTGAGCAGCAGCTTGGAGGCCTCCAGGAAGGTCTCCGGGGTGTTCTGACAGAGCTCGGCCACCGCCGGGGACGCGGACCCACAGGAACTGCCCAGCGCCGCCGCCGCCATACTCGAGCGCGCGGCCGTGACCCCCCCTCCCCCCGCCCGCACCGCGTGCGCTCTGAGCAGGCGCCTCAGCTCGCCGCGCTCTGCGGCCGGCCGGGGGGAGGGGGCTGGTCTCCAGGGGCGGGGGCCCGGCCGAGAGGGAGGGGGCTGGTCTCCAGGGGCGGGGCTCGGCCGAGAGGGAGGGGGCTGGTCTCCAGGGGCGGGGGCCCGGCCGAGAGGGAGGGGGCTGGTCTCCAGGGGCGGGGCCCGGCCGAGTGGGAAGGGGCTGGGACTAGTCTCCGGAGCGGGGGGCTCGTGTTGGGGGGGCAGGGCTCGTGTGTGGGGGGTGGTCTCCAGGGGACGGGGGGTTTTCCAGGGGGGTGGGGTCTGATATCCTGGGCTGGGGACTCGGCGGGAGGTGAGGGGGACGGCTGGTCTCCAGGGGGCGGGGACTAGTATCCGGGACCGGTGGGGTTCGTCTGGGAGGAGCTGGGGGCTGTTTGGGGCCGTTGGGGGCTTGGGCCGACAGGGGCCTGGTTGTCAGGGCCTGGGGGCTTCGACCAGGCTGGGGTGTGGGTCTTGGTCGTCTGGACCGAGGGGCTTTGCCCATGTGTGTCTGGTGGTCTGGACCGCGGGGTGGGGTGGAGGGGCGGGGGTTTCGCGCAGGGGTAGGGGGTGCTGGCTGGTGCATCGCAGGAACCCAGGTTCCTCGGCGCCTCGGGGCCGGCCTCAATAGATCCAGCCAGACGGTGGAGAAACCCCCTATATTCCAACCACCCCTTTGCCCCCAGATGAAACTACTCTACAGCTTCCTCCTCGCAGATGGTCAGGCCTTCCTAAGTCAATGTGGATGAATGACCCCAGAGGGAAGCAGAAAACCACGTTCAAAACCAAACACATAAACTCTGCTGGGTTTCTCCTATATGGATTTTTTTTGGAATTAGATAAATGATTGAAAATCTCTTGCATAAGTCCCAGCTCAGAGAATATGATGCCTCTGTAAAGAAGTTTTTTTCAAAACTGCAGTTTGCAACATAGTGGGTTGTGGACTCCACTGACCAAAGTAAAACACATATCCAATAACGACAAAGTAGAATGGAATGGAGGAGAAAGGAAAGACAGCAAAATTATGCATCCCATGCAGTAAGTGTACGTATTAATTTGTGACCTTGTTTCGCAGGTAGATCCTGTGATCAGCGTCCTTTATTCCTCTTAAAAGAAGAATCCTAACATCTTTAATCCATCATCTACTTCTCCATGACCTTGAAAGTGTACTTTACCAATGCCTTCTTTCTTTTCCAAACCTCAACAAATGTTTTTCTTGACACTATATATTTTTAAAAGTTGTTTGTCTAAGTAGCTTCTTTGAATAATCTTGATGCTTTATCTTCAGTTCGCTTTTTAAATTTGAAATTTTCTTCCAATGTCTCTGAGCAAGACCCTGAGCAATAACCACCCACTTCAGTTACCATTCACTTGCCAGATATATGTGAGAAGTTTTTAATAAATATGTAGGTTTTTGGACCAGCTTCCAAGAATAGTGTTTAACTGATAGTGTGTTGCTAGCTGCCGTAACTGAAATTTTCAGTGACGTAACATGAGAAATTTCTTTCTTGTTCATACAAGAGGTATCATTTGTCAGTGAGCAGCTTTCCTCCAGATAATGATGCAGGGCCCCAGGCTCCTTTCCTCCCATAGAAGTCAACAAACATTTTCTATAAAGGACCAAATATTAAATGTTTAAGGGTTTGTGGCCATAGGGGCTCTGGTTCAACTATTTAACTCTGCCTTTGCAGTTGTTCCATAGGCAATACAGTTTGCCCTTGAACAACGTGGGCACCAACCCTCCAAGCATTCAAATTCTGTGTATAACTTCCTCTGTATCTGAGGTTCCACTGTATCTGTGGTTCTGAATCTGAGGTTGCAACTCACAGTGGGCCATGTAGCACTGTAGCATTTACTGTTGAAAAAAAATCCTCATATAAGTGGACCCATGCAGTTCAAACCCGTGTTGTTCAAGGGTCAACTGTACTTAAAATGAATGTGTATGGGTATGTCCAATGAAACTATTTACAAAAACAAGCAGCCTTCTGGATTTAGCGTGTGGTTTGCTAACTACTGCTATATGGCCACAGAGACTTTTGCATTTAGTTAGTGATTGGGCAGAAAGACCGCATACCTGCTTCTTAACCACATGGGCCCAGAAATGACAAACAGCGTTTTCTCTACTGTATCATTAGTGAAAATGAAGCCCCACCTAGATGAAAAGGGAGGGAGACTGGGAAATGTAGTCCTTAGCTGGACAGGCACCACCCACAACTCTGGGAATTGTGGGATGGGAGGTGGGAGGCCTGGGATGTAACTAGCTGTCTCTATCACAAACAGTATTCCCCTTGAGTTTCTTCTTTCCATCAGCACACTCATTTATTCTTATAATAATTGTATAAGGTTATCATATACTGTCTAGTATTTATGACTTTTTTTAAGGCTACAGAACACTTTTTTTTTTCAAATAAACCCTTAGGAGGAAACCTAGTATATACAAAACACCAAAGTGGAGGCGCTCTAGAACTGAAGCAGGAATGCTTGTGTGGTGGGGGAGGAATAGAATGTTATCAACTTAGCTTTCCCCTTGAGTAGATAATGGCTTTAAGGTACTTTTATGAGGGACATGCAACCACAGTGTGAAAACCAATGCCATAAAGTTAATGCTGTTAAAATAACGTACAGTCCATAAAATCATAGAAATCCTCATTTCAATGGTAATTCACTAAATTATTGTTTATTTTAATTCACCTGAAATTTAAATCCTTCCCAATTACTTTTTTTTTTTTTAATTTATTTCTTTTGGCTGAGTTGGATCTTCATTGCTGCGCGTGGGCTTTCGTTTTTAGTTGCAGCAAGAGGGGGCTACTCTTCGTTGCGGTGCACGGGCTTCTCATTGCAGTGGCTTCTCTTGTTCCAGAGCACGGGCTCTAGGTGCGCGGGCTTCAGTAGCTGTGGCGCACGGGCTCAGGAGTCGTGGCTCGCGGGCTCTAGAGCGCAGGCTTAGTAGTTGTGGCACACGGACTTAGTTGCTCCGTGGCATGTGCGATCTTCCCTGACCAGGGCTCAAACCCGTGTGCCCTGCATCGGCAGGTGGATTCTTAAGCACTGCACCACCAGGGAAGCCCCCCAATTACTCTTTACTTTGAGTAACTACTCTCTCTCTTGGATACCACCATCTATGAAGCTATTAAGGGAATTTATTATAACAAGGGACTTGGCTCATTCTTTTCCCTGTCTGCTTCTTCCACTTAAGTCAAGTTGAAAATATTTTGATTCTTCAGTTTCCTTTAGAAAAGTTAAAGGTTTTAAGCTAGTCAATCTCTTTTTTTTTTGCAGTACGCAGGCCTCTCACTGCTGTGGCCTCTCGCCCATGGCATGTGGGATCTTCCCAGACCGGGGCACGAACCCGTGTCCCCTGCATCGGCAGGCAGACTCCCAACCACTGCACCACCAGGGAAGCCCGCTAGTCAATCTCTTTATACCCACCATTGCTCCAAACACATAAAAGGATGTTCTAGTATTAAATCAGCTTTGAACTTCCTGTTCATTCACTTGATTTTTTTTTTTTTTTTTTTGCTTCAAGATAATGAATTTCTTTTTAGGATTCCAGCTTTGTTAAGAACATCATCTTTAGAGTTGACATATGGTGGCACTATTCTTAAAATGAAATAAAGATATAACTCACTGAAATTTCCCCAGGATAGGTTTTGTCATAAAAAAGAAAATGTTGGGACTTCCCTGGTGGCTCAGTGGTAAAGAATCTGCCTGCCAACGCAGGGCACACGGGTTCAAGCCCTGGGCCGGGAAGATCCCACATGCCGCGGAGCAACTAAGCCCGTGTGCCACGACAACTGAGCCTGCGCTCTAGAGCCCGCAAGCCACAACTGCTGAGCCCGTGAGCCACAACTACTGAAGCCAGCATGCCTAGAGCCCGTGCTCCGGAACAAGAGAAGCCACCACAATGAGAAGCCTGCACACCTCAAAGAAGAGTAGCCCCTGCTCGCCGCAACTAGAGAAAGCCTGCGCGCAGCAACAAAGACCCAACTCAGCCAAAAATAAATAAATATATTAAAAAAAAAAAAAAAAGAAAATGTTGACCTCAGTAAAGGTTATTGGCAAGGAGAAGGGTTGAAGCCTCTCAGGAATTGATGTGGTAGCTCACTACTGTGTGACTGTATTAAGTAATTAAGCAACTATTATTTATTGAGCACATGCTGTATGCAAAGCAGTCTGAGATGGATGACATAAGAAACTTTTAATCTAGTAGGAAGGACAAAATGAATAATAATACCTTACATACAGATAGCCCTTCAGTTGATGAAACAGAGTTACTGTGAAAAAATCATTTGGTAAGAAATGCACAAAGTGGTATAGGCATAAGGGTATGTGTTTATTAATTCATTCTGTAATTCATTCATTCACCAAATAGTTATGAAGCCAATGGCCGTGCGCCACACACTGTGAAGCAGGGGAGGAGATGAGCACAGGCCCCGCCTTCATAAGAGTCATCGAGTTCGAGCACTGGTGAGACCAGCAGTATCAGCATCACCAGGGAACTATCAGGATATTCTCAAGCCCCACCATTAAAGATGAGGCCCAGGGCTTCCCTGGTGGCGCAGTGGTTGAGAGTCCGCCTGCCGATGCAGGGGCCGCGGGTTCGTGCCCCGGTCCGGGAAGATCCCACATGCTGCGGAGCGGCTGGGCCCGTGAGCCATGGCCGCTGAGCATGCGCGTCTGGAGCCTGTGCTCCGCAACGGGAGAGGCCACAGCAGTGAGAGGCCCGTGTAAAAAAAAAAAAAGATAAGGCCCAGCAATGTGTGTGGTAAGCCCTTCAGGTGATTTCGGTGCACGGTAAATTTGGAGAACTATTAGTTTAGAAGAAGGAAAATTCCACTGTGGTTGCAGTTTCATGGAAGAAGAATTTGA